CTCTCAGTGTATATTTATTTACTTGTGGCATGTTTTAAATTTCTCGACTACTTGCTTAGATATTCCGCCACTCTGAAATATTGATTTTGCGAACTAAAAAAATATTTAAAAGTTTATTATTTAAAATTATCAAAGCGGTGGCTACAGCATATTTATTTTTACAGATATACCTACAGTATGTCCGATCCAAAGAAAAAGTGCAGACAATACAATGTCGAATATTTGAAGTATGGTTTTATTCAGTCGCCTTCTAATAAGGCATTACCAATGTGTTTAATTTGCCAGAGAGTTTTCTCAAATGAAGCCATGAAACCTTCACGATTACAAGAACATTTGACCAAAATACATCCCGACAGAAAAGAGAGAAATTTATCATATTTTGAAATGCTCAAAAAACAACATTTCAAACGTCCAACTTTAGCTAGTATCTTTTCAGCAGCATCAAAGCAAGACGATGATGGGCTACGTGCTTCTTATAACATTTCCTTACTTATAGCTAAATCAGGAAAACCCCATACTATTGGCGAAGAATTAATACTGCCAGCTGTAAGTGAAGTTTTGCGGACGGTACTACACCAGCCGGCATCTGATATTATTAAAAAAATTCCATTAAGCAATAATACGGTACAGAGACGAATTGACGAAATGTCTGAGGATGTGGAGCGTTCTCTAACTGATTATTTAAAGACTACTGAGTTTTCTTTACAGCTTGATGAATCAACTCTGCCAAACAATGAGTCTTTACTTCTTGCGTACGTTCGCTTCATAAAAAGTGAAAAAATCTGTCAAGAACTGTTATTTGTAAAAACACTGGAAACAGATACTAAAGGCAAATCGATATTTGATGTTCTGGAACACTATTTTACAGATAAAGGTATACCTCTGGAAAATGTCATAACTGTTGCTACAGATGGTGCTCCGGCAATGGTTGGACGATACCGCGGACTGATAGCATATTTGAAAAAAGCGGTACCAAATATACTCGCCGTGCATTGTGTAATTCACAGACAGCATTTAGTTGCAAAAAATCTTAGTGATCGCCTTCATTGTTCACTACAATATGTAATTACTGCAGTTAACAAGATCAGAAGCAGTGCTCTCAATGATAGATTGTTTAGAAAACTGTGTGATGAAAACGACGAGAATTTTAATCGTTTATTGTTGCACACAGAAGTTCGATGGCTTTCGAAGGGTACCTGTCTAAAAAGATTTTATGATCTCTTTGACTCAGTTTTAGAGTTTTTTGAAAGCAAAGATGATTCTTTGAGAGACAATTTATTAAAATTTAAGAGCGATATTGCTTATTTAACTGATTTATACGATAAATTTAATGAAACAAACCTACAGCTACAAGGTGATAATTTGAATTTGATCAAAGCAAAAGGAACTATTTCCTCGTTCGTGTCAAAACTTAATTTCTATAGGCAAAATTTGGGTCGGAGACAATTTCATCAGTTTCAAAATCTTTCCTCTGTGGAGACAAATGATGAAGACATTTTGGTATATTGCCAGCACTTGGAAGCACTTCAAGAAGATTTTAGGAATAGATTTCAGGATATCCTTGGTCTGATTATTCCAGATTGGGTGCTAGAACCGTTCTCAAGTTTAGAAACAGCAGAATTATCACTACAGGAGGAATTGATAGAATTGTCAACAAATGAAGAGTTAAAAGTGAAATTTAAAAATGGATACCAAGAATTTTGGCTGCAATGTCAAATTTCAGTATTATATCCAGCTTTATGGGCTGCATCAAAGAAGTTTTTCATTGCCTTTCCTTCATCGTATTTAGCCGAAAGAGGATTTAGCATAGTCAGCAATTTATTAACAAAGAAGAGAAATAGACTGTCCATAGTGGAGCGCGGTGATTTAAGATTGCTGATGACAAGTATGGAACCAAATATTGACAGATTACTATCATTTCATCAAGCTCAGCCTTCTCATTAAAAATGTTATATTATTATTATATTGTTTTTTATGATATGTATTTAAGTTAAAGTTTGATCAATACATGAATACTGTATTTTTGAATAAAACATTTTTTTTTTAAATTTGTTGTTGCTTGGATTAGTTTAGGAGCCGTCGAATCATATTTAAGGTAGCCTTTGACCCAAAAAAGGTAAAAAAATTGTGAATGAAAGTGCGATACTAATTTTAAGAATGGAAGAGTTTTTTAAGGGGGGCGTTAAGTATTTTGTTTTTGGAAAAATGGGCGGTAGGCCGAAAAAGGTTGGGAACCACTGGTCTAGATTATAGCAATCATTTTTGTCTCCAGGTTGGTAAATGGGTTTCAAATTATATTCTGATACATCAGTGGATTTAAGGTAGTATGGATGGTTGCTGATTGTTTCCCCAAGGTAGTGTGTTTGGCTGTTGTTTACTTCCCAAGGTAGTGTGATTGGCTATTACTTGCTCCCCATGGTAGAGGCCGTGTATACGGCTAAGACACTAACCAATTTGTGTGACTAAAGTTTCATTGTAGAATGATTGTAGTGATATTATTGAAAAGAGCGAATAAAAATTTGTATCGGCTTATATAGGATGTAACGGCTACTAAAAATATTTATAATTTAGTGAGGTCTCTTTGGAATAATATAGTACGGGTGACAAGTACCAAGCGGAGCTTGGTGTCACGTCCAATTGGTTGATTGAAACGTTACAGGTCAACGGTTATTTTAACGCAATACTTTTTTGTCTTTAACTTATAAGCATTCGTGATATTAGATTATTAAATTTTCAGATATTGTAGTTCTAAAAGGTACTGTTACTTTAAGTTGGTAGGATACACCGTTTTCTAGAAAAATCGATTTGAAGATTGTTCGTTTTTTCGTCATGAAAGTTAAATTAATATTTTTGCACTACTTAATTGGGTTTGAACTGTCAACAGAAGTATAACCGACGTATTTCATTTTCAAACAGTTGTCAACTCGCGAAGTTTTTATTTTTTACTTTGTGGCATTCAAACACAACAATTTCAATTAAACAAACATGGTTTTTAATAATGAGGAATACGCTGATACGCATTTACTTTATGGCGAAATGAGGCGTAAACGCTCGACCAGCACAACGTAAATACTTTAAAAAATTTCCCATGAGCATCTCACTCACTCAACATTTACAGCTCTTCACCAACGATTAAGAGAAACAGGTTCAGTGGTTCCAAAAAATAGTGGAACAGACGACATAATAATGTAACAGCAGCACAAGAAGATGTTATCTTAATGGAAGTAAGAAGAGAATGGAAGACTATCTGTCCTGTACCTATCCCACAATTTCAAAATCTTACTGCTTTCTTCTTAGGCTCCTGTCCATTCCGAACGTTGCCGATCATTCTGGATATGATGACTTTGTTGGTGCTATATGGAATAGCTGTGTTGAGGTCTTTCTATACCGTGCTCTAAGTTTAGCAAACCAGGATGTTCTTATTCGTCTTGCGGTCCCTTTTCTTTCAATTTTACATTGGAGTAGCTCATATGCTTGATTTCTCACTAGTCTCTTGACTAGCCTTGATTTCTCATTATATGTCCAAAATACTGCAGCTTACGACCCTTCACGATGTTGACCAAATCCACGCTTGTGTTCATCCTCCTTTTTCACTGGTGACTTTGTCTGTCCATGGTATCTTTAGGATCCTTCTGTATAACCATCTTACTGCTAGTAAGGGCATGTTACAAAATCAGAGAATTGAAAATGAAGATTTTTCAGATACATTTTGTTTTGCGACGAAGCTACATTCACAAAAAATGGAGTTTTTTAATGTACGTAATGCACATTTTTATTCGTACGTTGGTGATAATTCCCACATTGTTCAAGAATTTAAGTATCAGTGTAGGTTTAACTTAAACGTCTGGATATTAGTAGTTGACGATTAGTTAATTGGATCTGTGGAATTGCCTGCTTGTTTACATGGTGCTGTGATTACTTAAATTTCCTGCAAAATAATGAAGTGCCTTAAATATTCGATAAACTTATCATTTCTACATGACGGCTGTCCGGCACACTCTAGCAAAAATGTACGAGACTTTCTTGATAATAACTACGAAGATTACTGGATTGGAAGAGGCGACCCAATTGTTTGGCCAGCAAGGTCGCCGGATGTGAATCCTTGAGATTATTGTGTTTAGGTATACATAAAAGCATTTTATTATTCCGCTCCGATACAAAATCGTGCACAACTCTGACTAAGGATACAAGATGCTTGCAACGAATTTAGAAATAACTTTGGAATTTGGCGTTCTCTAAGTAAAAGGGCTTTATACATAGATACAAATGGTCATCACATTGAGCATCTTTTGTAAATATCTACCTATCATACTTGTTCTTTCATGTTACTTTCGTTCCATCGTAATAAAATAATTTGTTTTCAAAAACCTTTAAATAACATTTTGTTTCAAATTTGATTTTTTGTTTCTTTTCCCAAACTTTTTTACGAATTGTGTGCTGCATCTATTGAAGCACGATGAAGCAAGATAATTTGTAAAATTAATTAAGGTATCTATTAATTTAACATAATGACAAAAATTTTTTAAATCAATTTTTCTCGAAAACGGTGTATCCTACCGAATTAAAGTAAGAGTACCTGTTAGTACTAGAATACCTGGAGATTTCATAATCTAGTAGCATGAATGCTTAAAAGTTAAAGAAAAAAAAGTTATGCGTTAAAATAACCGTTGGCCTACCCAAAACGGACGCCTATGTTCGGTACTAGAAACACGCAATTGGTGGTATTAATTCAACTTTGGAGGATAAATAATCGTACCAGTTTTCGTTTTTCTAAATAGAAGCGTTCGGGAGGTAATAAAAAAAAACTTATTACAAAGCGCCATCTAAAGAGCCCTAGCTCCCTTAGGAATCATTTTCGCACTAGGCGAATTGGTTTAAGAAGCCTTAAAAATCTCCGGTCTTTGTTTGTCAGGAGACTTCCTGGACACTCTGTGTAATAGATATAATGTGAATATTAAAAGTTTTGTGTCGTTAAATATTAAATATTGTTTTCTTTTCAGTATGCCCAAAACATCCCAAGACAGAATTTGTACCACAAGTGCTCGAGAGGGTCGCATTCATCAGACACAAGTTCCGCGTACAGCGGATCAGACACTATGGCCTCCACCCATTCCGAACTCGATGGAGACGAGCTGGACCTCACCGGGCTCGTCGAAAGCATCGTTGACAGCGATGAAGAAGACGATTTAACAGAGAGTATGGATGTAAGTATATACTGTATCAGGTATCTAATAACAAACATTGCTTTGCTCTCAGTTTTTTTATAAATGACTAATCTGACATATGTCAATTTTCAGAGTTTGACAGTAAGAGACAGAGTCAGAGATTGCCTAGAAAAAGAACCGTCAGAGCGAACCGAAGATGACATAGAAGCATTATTAGAATTCACCCAACATTTAAAAGCATTCACGAATATGACATTAGCAGTGCGAAGAGCCCTGTGTGCGGTTATGGTATTTGCAGTGGTAGAAAAAGCTGGTACGATAGTAATGAACGACGGAGAAGAATTGGATTCTTGGTCAGTGCTTGTTAATGGCTCCGTAGAAGTTGTGATTCCAGATGAGCCGAGTCAAACTTTATACATGGGCGATGCATTCGGCATCTTACCAACTATGGACAAGCTTTACCACAAAGGTGTTATGGTTACTAAATGCGATGATTGTCAGTTCGTTTGTATAACGCAGTCAGACTATTATAGAATATTACATCAAGGTGAAGAAAATACGCGACGGCATGAAGACGAAGGAAAACTAGTCATGGTAACAGAACTACGAGGTTCACTGGAGCCTGGAAGTAACAGACGAGGTCATGTAGTTATTCGCGCAACCGCAGACCGACTCATGCAACAATTAATCGAAGAAAATTCACTTACAGACCCCACTTATGTAGAAGACTTCCTTTTAACTCACAGGGTGTTTATTCAGAGCCCTCTTGTTGTAGCAAGTCAACTGTTAGATTGGTTTAAAGATACGGAAGTCCGGGATAGAGTGACAAGGGTGGTGCTGCTTTGGGTTAACAATCATTTTACTGACTTCGAAACGGATCCTGACATGATCGAATTTTTAGAGACGTTCGAGCAAGGTCTCGAATCGGAAAAGATGGTAGGGCAACTAAGGCTTCTTAATATAGCCTGCGCAGCTAAAGCAAGGATACGGAACGTGGTGTTAGCTAGACCTAACAGAGACGAACCCTTGAGTTTTCAAATTCTTGGAGGATTCGAACGAAACTTTGGAATATTCATTTCGAAAGTAGATAAGAAATCTAAAGCGGAAGACGTCGGCTTGAAGCGTGGTGATCAGATTCTCGAAGTGAACAACCACAGCTTCGAGCATATGTCTCTCACTAGAGCGTTGGAAATATTGAGAGGAACGACACATCTAAGTATTACAGTTAAATCAAATCTTCTCCATTTCAAAGAAATGCTTAATACTCCCGATAACTCCCCAAGACCGAGGAGTAGAAAGGTTTCCGATATAAACTAATTTAACTAAAGTTCCTGCGGATCCTAGAGCTAGACTGTCTAGTGTAGATGGTAATATAATCCTCGGTCATGACACTCCTGCTTCTCAGCCGATCACCATAAGCAGTCCGGCGAAGGAAGGAAAGAAACAGAGTTTTATGACGCTAGGAAGACTCCAAAAAGCGCTGATGAAGATGAGCATTTTTCCTAAGAATATGATAAAGTAAGTAATAGATTAAGCTTCTTCTTTATTTCTACGCAACCCATTTAAGACCATGACTCATTCGTATATCTTTTCATGTCGTCAGTGCACTGGAGTTGATCTTAACCACTTCCTGATTTGTAATTACAGTATCCAAACTATTAGTTCTATGTAACATCTATTACTTTTTGTGTTGCGCCATGTTTTATCCTTCAGTCGATGCCAAATAAGTCTGTCAAAAGGTAAACAAGAAGCGTCACCTGATAATGATGTTATATCCTTCTAAATTTGTTACGATTATCTTTAACCATCTTTCTGTTTTTGTGCCATCATTTCTTGTCCTTAATTCGTCCAGTATTTTTCACACACTCTATTCCTGTGTATAATCCTTTTCGAAGGTCTTTCACAGACCTCACAGTTATTAGAGCATCACAAATAAAAAAAAAAGGTTTTTCATTTGTGATGCTCTAATATTCTCCTTGACTAAATTATTTCGTGTTCTGTTTTTCTCCTTGGTTATTTATCCATCTTATTCTTGGACTTCTCGTTTGGGATCCCGCATCCTCTGTTTCTCTTCTGGTGTTCTTCATTTAGCAACTTTCTAAAGTACTCATACCATCTTGGCTTCATTTCAACATCGGTTCTTAAGACTCTTCCATCCGCACTCTTAATCTGCCACACGTGGGTCGAGTCCTTTGATGACTTGTTCCTTGCTTCAGCAATGCTGTATAGCCTTTTCATCCCCGTGTTTCCAACTCTTCATACAGCTGTGTAGACGATCTTTCCTTAGCAGTAGCTACAGCGCGCTTTACTTCCCTCTGTGCTACATGGTATATATCCTTATTTACCTCTCTTTTAGACTTGTCTCTTTCTTCTCTTTAACTTTCGGTTGCACTTCATAGTTCCACCATCAAGTTTCTTTGTTTTTAGGAGGCCCTTTACCATATGTAGTTATGTAACTTCCCACATCTTGTTTTTTCGAATATTGCCATGCGTGCCCTCTTCAATAATTGATGTAATACAAAAGCGTCAAACAACAGTTAAATCATTTATTTTTTTAGTGTTGGTTTGGGCCAGGACCAAGTTGATAGCTTTAATCCTCCCTCAACGTTAGGATCGAACCTCTACCAGTCGCAGAGCAATCCAGATCTGATGTCAATTTGTTACGATGACTTAAGATGTACGGATTACCCAGAACATGTTTTAAAGGTACATGATTATATTATATTTATATTTTTAAGGGCTTGTCACAAGTTCTTATTTAACAAAGCTCGTGAATGATTCATTTTAATAACGTTATCATTGTTCTTTTGTATTGTTGTAGCACATTTCGAATATAAATGTATAAATAACTGTCTTTTCACGCCTAGACCATTAAGTATTCATATCGATGGTTGTGTACACATTATAAATGTACATTTGTAGATTTGCTGTATGATATAAATAAATTCTTCGTGAATTTGTATCTGTCACTATATTTCGTATAAGTTTGGTATTTAATGATTTAATAAGGCAATTTCAAGGTAAATTTGTCTCGAAACTTTATTATCACTATTTTATTGTAATTGATTTTTCTGTACTGTAACATGATTGATTTTTTAGGTTTATAAGCCTGATCAAAGCTACAAATACCTCCTAGTCCACAAAGAAACCACAGCCCACGAAGTAGTAATGCTGGCCCTACAAGAATTCGGCATGACGGACCCGAGCAGCAACTTCAGCCTCTGTGAGGTTTCGGTAACGGACAACCAAACCATCAAGCAGAAACGACTACAGGACGATCTGCAAAACTTAGCCGAGCGGATAGGATTGAGCAGCCGGTATTATCTGAAGACTAACGGCGTTACGGAAACTCTGGTACCTGATGAACTAGCGCCTGAGCTAGTTAGAGAGAGCGCGGTGCATTTTTTGCAACTAAACGCGGTGGAAGTGGCGATACAGCTGACTCTGCTGGATTTCAGTATTTTTAGACAGATTGAACCGACTGAGTATATCGATGATCTCTTCGAATTGAAGTCCAAATATGGCACGCCGATGTTGGAACAGTTTGCTTCTTTGGTTAACAAAGAAACATTTTGGGTTGTTTCTGAAGTGTGCGCGGAGCACAATCCAGTCAGGAGAATGAAGATTATTAAACAGTTCATTAAAGTTGCAAGTAAGTTTTGCCGATATTTGAAAATTATATACACTGTTAAGATAGTTTTTAACAAATTACTAGAATTTTTTAATAGTTTTATGTAGTTGAATTCGCCATAAGGGAACGCAAGTTATTTAATTGTTTTATTTGTATAAGTATTAGTGATATTTATGTCAAAATATTTGCACTTGGTTGGATTTAAGTATTTTATTGAGCTACCAATCCTCAATTGTTCGTGGCGCCCAACGTGGGCGCCATGTGTAATAATAAAGCAACTACCTAGATCGTTGGATGCAGCCTATACAGTGGAATCATTAGCAATCTCCAAAGTCAATAGAATGTAATGTTACTACCAACTTTAGACCAGAAAAGATTTTGTGACCTAGACTGCAAATAGTTCTTGAATTTAAAAAAATGTGGTCTAATACTAAACAATTCTTTCTTCTTCGCGTGCCATATCAGAATTATCCGACGTTGGCGATCACCATTACGAAGGCTTCTCGATCTTCTGCAATATGGAATAATTGTCCCGCATTTGATATCTGAGTCAATTCGCGAATGTTCCTCAACCAAGAAACCCGTTTCTTTCCTACACCTCTACGGCCCTCTATTTTGCCTTTAAGGATCAGTTGTAATATTTTATAATCGACTTCCCCTTACTATATGTCCCGCATAAGACATTTTTCGATGTTTAACAGCCTTTAGCAGTTTTCTATCTTTGTTGACGCTCCTTAGTACTTCTTCGTTAGTTTTCCTTTCTGTCCAAGGTATCTTCAGCATTCGCCTATAAACCCACATTTCCAATGCTTCAATTTTGTTCATGATCGATACTTTTTGCGTCCACACTTCTGCACTATACAAAAGTACGGACCAAACATAGCACTTAACGATTCTTTATCTTAGTTCTAAACAGAGATGATTATTGCAAAGAAATTACTTAATTTTCATAAAAGTAGTTTTAGTCATTGCTATTCTACGTTTTATTTCTATGGCTAAACGATTATCAGTTGATATTTAACATCTTTTTCTGTCTACAGGGCAATGCAAAGAATGCAAAAACTTTAACTCAATGTTCGCTATAGTAAGCGGGCTGGGACACGGTGCCGTTTCGAGATTGAGGCAAAGTTGGGACAAATTACCCGGAAAGTACCAAAGGGTGTTTTCGGAACTGCAACAACTCATGGATCCTTCCAGAAATATGAGCAAGTACCGTCAATTAGTAAGCGCCGAACAGACTCAACCTCCAATTGTAAGTATTTTTACGTTTTTCATTTCTTTGTTATTATTGTAGTGTTTAACATTAAAGTTGAAATGAAGTTACATCTTTTAGTTTAGGCAGTCAAATTAAATAAATGGAATTTCCACACTCTACGTGTAATTTTAACAGGGTTTTATATAAATATCATGTCTATAGCACTGGCCAATGGAGTTCTTAACCCAACATAACCTAAATATATTATTACGCGGAAAATATTGTCATGCTCTTTTTTTAGATCAATTTCCTATTTATCTTCCGTATCAAAAAGTTGTTTTTTTTTCCCCGAAAAATCAGCTACAGTATGTATTCTATATTTATTTCCTCTCAAAATACATATGACTCAAAATAAAATATTTTCCTACGTTTATTAAGTTGTTTCCTCTTAAGTTCATTGCACATCATTAATTTTGTCGTTGAGATTTTCGCACAGAGTTGTCATATTATTGGGATAATCGAAAATGCAGGGAATTAAGAAATGATGTAATTGTAAGGTTATTATTATTATAAATTCATTTGTATTCCAATATTTTGATAACAAATCAACATCTTTTCAAACTTAATTTTTGCGGACAACCCTTACTATGAATGTGGCCTAATAGCGAACTTAAATCATATATTTTTTTAATCCCCCATAAGGATCATTCGCGGGCTTTGACCTATACACAAAATTCATTTATATGAATCATAATTCACTAATTACTATATATTCCATTTTAAATAAACTTAATGAAGAATCAGTCAGGATCTTGATAAATTTTCGTTCAATTAATAAGTTAAATTTATAATTGACAACGTTCAATACTTTTTGTTGTGTCTAACAACATAATCTCTAACAAAATTATTTGAGACAACTAAGTGGACTCGAGTTGGTTTAGAACCAGACTTCTTCAAGATCACCACCAAATTGAGCTGGGGTAAAAGGAGCTATAGTAAAATTGTTTGCCTAAGTTGAAGTTGTTCCATGCGAATTTGTTCTTGGACGTTTGAATGGCATGACACCACTAAGTACAAACTTTAAGGATTTACTTTTAATGTTTCGGTGACGAAATTAGTCTTCCCTGACCATTTCTTTAATTTAATTACGAGGTTAAATGACAAATTTAAGTATATTTTACTATTATTTGTATTATTAACTTCATTTCAGTGTTAATGTAAAGTTACTATAGATTTATTTACGTTTAAGCTCATTAGGCATTAAATTGATAGCACATTAAAAAGGAATACAATTTTTGATAGCACTATTGTATGACTTCTATTAACTATAAAACAAGTTCTTAGAGAGATCTGATGCATATTGCAATGCCCACATACCGTGTCGAATGTTATTTCTATTATGCTTTGACAAAATACTGGAAACTCTCTTGGATCTACGTCATTTTTACTTCAGACATCCGCATTTCTCTTACAAGGAGTTATCGATAGGTAAAATGAGTTACCAAGAAAGTTGAGAGAATGACAGTGTTATAGACACAAAAAGGTGTTGTTTTTTATTTTTGAATATGCTGAGCACCTGAGTGTCTATAACCAACCGCCGAATCTATCGTACCGTTCGCGTCATAAAAAACTGGTACAACTCTTATAGCCGAAAATCGTGTTTTTTAAGTTGTGTAAGTTGATCTTGTCACATATGTAATTCTAATTTCTAGGGCAACGTTGCCAGTTCAACGAAATATTGTAACAAATCAGCTAAAAGGGAGACTGTGCGACAGACACATTATAAAATTACAGTAGATGCATTCCAATGTTCCCCGTGACAATACCCTACGTTTAAAGAACCTTTAAACATTTTTGGCATTAACGCAACCCTCTCTCTGGTTATTAAATTTATTAGATACGGTTGTTTGTTGTTAATGATAATAATAATACCTATATAAAAACTTTAAAACATTTTTGAACGTTCTTTTTTTATTTATATTGACAACGAATTGATTCACGAACTAAGTTTGAACACAGGTTTACATTGGAAAACAAGTGTACCAGTTTTATATGACGAGAACTGTACAAGCACTACTATTACTGTTACTGTTTGACACCTTTTATCTCAAAGCTTCTTCTAATCTTCTTCCCACTTTCTAATACTATCCATTCAGCTAAGACGAGCTTTTTCGATTTTTTCTGTCACTTAGGGTTGATGGGTAGTAGATATTTCTTTTGATGTTCTTTCAATATGACCTAATATCTTTGATGGTTAGGTTTTCCTTATTTAGATAACTACGAATATAATAAAATCTTAAATTAAACTCATAAATGGCTCCCTTAAACCCCTGAACGATAAATAAAATCCAAATTATTAGTAAATAATATATTGTATAAAGTATTGAACCTAATGAACTTAAAGAATATTCAAATTAACTTTAAACTCCAGTTTTTTTGTAAATACAGATGAAATAAAGTTGTAGAATTGATGTTATCAAACAAAAACGTTTCTATTCCAATTAAAAATACGTTCCATCCTGTTGTGAAGTTCCGAATATCGCTTAAAACTTCACGGATCAAATGTTTGATCCTATTTTCGCTTATATCCTTGTGAAAGTTGATTAACAAACTTTCTAAACTCGATATTTAGGCATGTACAGTGTTGAAGTCGCGAAAAAGTTTTGTTATTATAATATTGGCTGCAATTATTTAATAAATTTCGAATTTGAGTTTTAAATTTTATCTTGAAACAATTGTAGATACTGTAGTCTAATGGTGTGAGTTCTGGATAACTTGGAGGTTTGCGTTATGACATTATGCGATTAACCTAACACCTCGTGAGTGCTTGTAGTGAAGCTTGTAGTTTTGTATGTTATTTTCCTGATAAATTATATTTTTGAGGAATTCTAGGAGCTCTTTCAGTACTATTCCGTTGAAAATGTTTAGCATCTCATCTGACCTTCGTATTTTTTTGTTTTGTATTTTCTTATGTTCTAAGTCCTGTGCAAGGCTATATTTTAAGGTATGGCAATTCTTCTTGTTCAAGTCACGCTGACTTTAGAATAAGCTTTCCTAAATAGTTGTTTTGAGCTGCAATCATACTATTTTCTTAGGTTCCTCAGCCAAGGTATTATATCTTGAGAGCAGTTTTGTTTCTTTTATTGTCCTTTCAACAAATTTTTTCTTCATTTTTTAACACCAATATTCGTGAGGTTATCCACCCATGGGATGTGCAGTACACTATCTTCTCATCAATTGAAATTATCATATTTGTTTTGCATATCCTCTATTTTTCTACATTTGTCTGAATAGTGCGATTATTTGTTTTTCGTAGTTTTCATTTATTATGGTTTGTAAGGTTTGTTATTGGACCTTGCTGTTCTTACATTTGACTATATGTCTATTAATTATTATTCTAGTTTATTTTTCTGCTGTGATCTTCTTCTCTACGTGTTATCTCCGCGACGGAGGTTGGCAATCATCATGGCTATTCTGATCTTAGATGCTGCCGCTCTGTAGAAGTATGAAGTTTGTTATATCTTTCATTACGCATACCATGCGCCAGGTATTGCAGCTTTCGTGTCTTGATGTTTTCCAATACTTCCATTCTTTTGTTGACCGGTATATTCTGATATATTCAGGACGCTTCTATATACACATAGTTCAATTGCTTCCAACTTTTTATAGCCGATGCGTTACGTGTCCATGCTTCTATCCCGTAAAGCAGAGTCGAGAAAATATAACACCTTGCCAGCCTAACTCTCAAGTTCTCTTGCACAAAGTACCTTTCTCATTTTATTGAAGTTTGTTCGTGCTTTCTCTATTCTAACTTTGATTTCTTTAGAGAAATCGTTTGTGTGATTGTATGTTGTGCCGAGATAATTGTAGTTTTCCACTTGTTCTAAAGTTTTAATCGTTAATTGTCAGGCTTTCATCATTATTTTGGGTTTTTGATATCTTCATAAATTTCGTTTTCTTGATATTTATTGATTATCCATATTCTTCTCCATACTCAACTATCTTGTTCATTAGCTTTTGGAGGTCTTGGAGGTTGTCTGTTATTATGATAGTATCGTCCGCTGGTATTCCATTGACCTTTATTCCTGCTGTTTCTCCCTCAAGAGCTCTTTCCATAATTTCTTCAGAGTATGCATTGAATAGTTGTGGTGACAATACACACCCTTGTCGCACTGCTCTTTTAATTTCGAATTCTTCTGATGTGTGTTCAATAATGCGTTCAAGAATAGTCATATCTAACCAATTCGATGACCTTTTTTGGTAAAGTAAAATGTCAACAACTTTCTTTAAAACTGACAATAAAAATTTATTTGTGATGTCACATACAAATGTACATATATATATATATATATATATATATATATATATATATATATATATATATATATATATATATATTATATATATTTCAGCAAAACAAAAACTTGTTATCGCTTTGACGAATCCAAAAGCCAAATATATGACATTGGACTATAATTTATCAACCTCCCCTATTTCCATATTTCAACCGGTATCAATAGAATGTTATAACATCATTTTAGCATCCCTGCTTCGTCAGACACTCGGACTGATACAAAAAACAAAGCGATAGCACTCTTTTGCTGAAAGATGTAAACTGTTGCCAATTTCTTATAGCGCAAAGCACAGAAAAGGATATTATTAAATCGTTTTCATTTATGGCCATCAAAGTAGATGGTACCTTTGTACGCTAACCACTTGAAGCGGGAAATAAGCAAGAGATATCCATTGGCCTTTCCGTGTTTATCACATTACGTGGCATATGATTTTTGTGTAAGGTTTACACAGTTTAAAGTTAATTTGAACCGTTTTAAGATATTTTTAATTTTAGATGTAACATAGGTATATAGTAACGAGCTTTGCTGAAATACGTCCAAATTGAACCGTAAAATCAATTTTTTTAACTAAAATTGGCGACAGTTACTGCAGCAAAGCTCTACAGACCATTTCACACGACATGTAACACAATTTTTTCATTATTAATCTGTTTTAGTCGTATCTGGTACTTACGCATACTGTAAGTCTGACTATAATTCTCTTTGCATTGTGTTTTTCGACAATTTCTCGTATGCCTTGTACCATTTCTGACATTATTTTACAACTTAAGTTTCTATAGTATATACATGTAAGAAATTAAGAGATTGATAAACTATTGTAACCGTTATCTTTTGCTAGATGTATTATTTGCAAACTAATGCCATAAGTGGTATTCGTTAAGACTATTTCACGAATATGTTCATGAATATGTAAGAATTTAAAGATTTATCAAGTTAAAAAGCAATTGTCACTTATTTTAAAAGCTATAGAATTTGTTGTGTATTTTTTGGTGTTTATCCGTTGAGAATTTGTTTTGTTTTTGACACAAAAGTATTGCAGACGTTTTGGCGAACACTCATCCTCCATTTGCATTCCTTTATAGGGATAGGATAGTTGTTCACCTTTCTGAAAATTTTAGTACTTTCTCCTCTGGTCATTTTAGCTCCTCTCATAACCCTGTCGTGGGTGTTTGTAATAATACTATCACACTTAAAGACTCTGTTAGGTGAGAGTATTTGTTAATCGAAGCCCAAATGTGTCACTGATGATTAAAAGTCGAGTCTTTCTCTACAGAACATTAGACGCAGATCGTCCGAGGTCTTTGGAGATGACCTCTAAATACTCCTCTTAAATACATACCATCTTTCAACCAAGGTGTTGTCATTTAAAATTAATTATCATTTCTCAGAATTTAGTGCCTACAATTTTGAAACTTTACTATATGAGTGCGGTATTGTTAGCATAAAATAGTATTTTGTTTTATTCTGTTCTGTGCTACATATTCGATATTTTGAACTATTAATTTTCAAACTATTTAAGTAATCTTATTATTATATTGCAGAACTTTACCATTTCTTTCTTTTTTAAGCCACTAACATATTCAATAAATATTATTTCCGTTATATCCTTGTTAGTAATCACTCGATATTGATGAAATTATCCCATTCCTTAGTAAATAGCACAAAAAAATTGCTTGTATAGAAGTAATGTGTAATAACTGACCAGAATTAAGATACAAGAAGAAATGTTGGTTCGAGACACATTATATGGTAGCTCTTAATTCAATATTCTTACTACCTTTTGTTTTAAACTGTAGTGTATAAGTGACAATTGCAACATAGCCGACAATACTTATTAAAATTTTATATTTTACATAATAAAAACTGTGTAAAAATAATTAAAACGCAAAATTTGTAATAAATTACAAAGCGCGCGAAAGTGAAATAGTCGCCAGTAGACTATATTCCTATTTTAACCTTTGAACACTTATCTCTTCTCAGATACCTACTGTTTCTGTTATGATATACTTAGTGTACGTTTTGATCCAACCTATTGTGTAAATTTGTGAATGCTCTACCACTATACTCATAAAATCCCAGGCCTGACTAATAAAACCACAATTTAGCCTTAAATTACGCTTGTTTTGTAGTGACCTCGTTTAAAGCATTTGTTTGAGTTTTAGTGGTCACTAGGAGCCAGATTTGGAGAATATGGTTGATGCAGAAGTACAATTCAGATTCTTTTGGGATCATGACACACTTTGTGAGAGAGCAATTTTTTCTTTTTGGGGTTTAATTGGCTTTTCACAATTTCTTCGCGTATCTGAGCATTACTGGGCATTCAGCTGATTTCGGAGTGAAGTGGTTGATTCATGTTTCATCCATTGTTACATATCGGCACAGAATTTCCCGTTACAGTTGTTAATAACCTTGTGAATAATCGTTTTTGATCGATATGAACACACTTGACAACTTTTTTGAACATTAGCATTCCCAGATGGTCATTTACTTTGCTATCTCACACAACTTCAATTTGCGACCGCTAAAAACGATTTTTAGAGACTTTTGTATGTTTTACGGAACAAATACCGAATCTGGGACGATCTCAGCTTTGATCATTTAATTAATTTAACTTTGTTGTTTGTTGCCCACACATAAAGTTAGTATACTACATCTTTTCTATTTTTCCGATGGAGCAGTGGTCAGTTACTAGTTGTCTAACGATATATTGGCTTTAGTAAAATTTTTCCCTTCAGGAAGTAATTATTTTATTAATTTAACCCACTATAACCTGCAAATTAACGATCCACTTTGGATCAAATAGCCAGTTCACGTTGATTACTTCTAGATAATATAGATTTGTTATTAGAGGCGCCATCTTTGTCAGGCCCGGGAATTACTGAGTGAAGTTATATGTCATAAAGAACTGTAATTGGTAGTTTTACTAAAACAACACAAATTAAGTTGTTTATACATGCACATGTGACTATATGTTTATAAAAATATCGCGAAGTGTATAAAGAACTACCAAATATAGGTTCATCTATATCGTCAACGTCTTACTAAAAGTTCTCTGTACGTTTCAGATACCTTTCTACCCAGTTGTTAAAAAAGATTTGACATTCATCCATTTGGGCAACGATTCCAAAGTTGAAGGCCTAATAAACTTTGAAAAGCTGCGGATGATCGCCAAGGAAGTCAGATCGTTGAGCAACATGTGCAGTAGTCCGTACGATTTACTCACGATGCTCAAATTGGGCGGCCAGCCTGCTAGCAATGCCATGGTAGCACTCAATCAACTAACCACTGCCTCAAGTAATTATCACGCACAAGGTATATAAATTGAACGCTAATATACAGTTTTGCCATACATTATAACAGTACTAGCCAGCTACGAAGAACCAACCAAAATGAGAATTAGCGCTGGTTCTTCCTAGGTAGCACGTACTATACTATAAAAGTTACTTCTATTAGCAGTTTAATACTATCTATATCTTAGGTCAAGCAACTGTAAAACGAAGAAAAAAATCAGCGGCAGCTCCGAACCCTAAGAAGATGTTTGAAGAGTCCCAGATGGTACGAAGGGTTAAGGCCTATTTGAACAACCTCCAAGTCGAAACAGACGAAGCCAAACTGCACGAGATGTCGCTGGAGTGCGAGAGTCCTGCGACGGGCGGATCCTCGGGGCCCGGCAGTCAAAGGACCAAACGGCATTCTTCACCAGCACCTAGTACTACCAGCAGTACGAGCAGTGCCAGCGATGAGAGGAAGCCTACTGCCAAATTCGGTTAGTACTATTTAATAAATAATAAAACTAGGTATTTTGTTAATAACAATTTGTGTTTTATCTACATTAATGCTTAGAATTCATTACAAAGGAACTGAAAGGAAGTTTACTATATTATGGACTCTAAAGATATCAGTTCTGATGTCAGTTCATTCATTTTAAGTTATTTATCAGATTTTTATGTACTTTCATATTACTCTTGATCTCTTTGATCTTCTACAAATTCTTTATTTTCTTTGGAGATTTCATCAATTGGATCAATTATCTTCTCTTTCTTACTAATGGGTTTGTGATGTCTGTATTTTAGATTTATATATTTTTTGTTTGTTCTTATTTGTTATATAAGTTCTATGGCATGGTTAGCGGTTTGCAAATTTTTCCAAGCTTCTCCAATGACCTGATTTAAGTTTCTGTAAACTTTCCTCCTTTTTGTGGTATTCTTCTTCGCTTTCATGACAGTCACATACTTTTATATATGATTTCATAATGATTTTAACAGCTACGTGCAAGAAACTAAAAATTATTAAACTTTTATAGAGTTCCTTAGTGATGAAATTATTTCCTGTAACATATTTTATTATTATTGTGTTTTTTGGAGGTATATAATTTTAACATGAGTTAAATACACAGATAAGTTGTGTAAATTGGATGTAGTCCAAGTGGTGATCACTTTTTACAGCAAGATTTTTCAATCGCAAAGTGTGCAGTTTGACTAACAAATTAATTATCGGTATAGGCTAGCCATTTTACTTGTTCATAAATAAAATAGTGAAAAAGTGTTAAATCGAACACGATCTTTGACAACAATTCAAAGTTACAATTGTGGCAAGGGCTATGTGACATATTGAGCCATCTTTTTGAAACCAACGCTCCTCGATACCAAGGCGATTCAATTCAGGAACAAAAATAAATGAAACATCGAAATTTTCGTTCGACAATAGTAATAGCTAAACATCAACAGAAAATAATTCAATTCAACCACAAGACAATGCAGGAGTCAGAATGGCGACCTATTAACAACAAGGAAAGATGTATAAATAAGAAAACCTGAAACACGAAAGGGAAGAGAACCACCTACGATTCTTGAAGTTAAAGAGGCAGTAAAAAAAGAACTATATAGAAGGTGGCCTTACAGCAGCTTATAAAAGAAATATTGACACAAATTTCTCCCCAATGATTGGAATATTGGAATACTTTACACACAGTACACAAAAAAGGAGATATCTTAGAATGCTATAATATACAGTGTAATTCCACAGAGGAATTACACTTCTAAATGCAGCGTGTAAAATATTTTTCACAGTACTATGTCACCGTATGGACCCATATGCAAAATGTTTTTCTGGATGTAATGGTGTCTTAACAATTGCTTGAGAATTGTCTTGACTTAATATTTTAGTGTTTTGATTATTTACGTAGCTATTCAACCAAAAACGAACTCTGTCTGAATGAGTATCTTCCACAAAGTGTATAGTCATTATATTCTATTGTAGTGCACGATGCACGGAATTTATTCATTTGAGCTACACTCAATGCTTACAACTCGACATGTTCAAGGTTCTACACCTTCGACATACACTATAGGATGACTAAAAAAATGAGTGTTATTCATTTTAGAGTAAATACGGTACAAAAAGGTTTATTGAGGATTATGTCAACTATAAAATGATGCATTTTACGAACAGAGCTATGCTTTTCGAAGTAATTCTACACAATTTGCAATCTTCGCTAGGTTAGTCTCAGGTTATTTTACAATCTTTACTGCAAAAAAAAAAAACAGCTACGAGTTATAAAATGGCTACCAGTAGAAACAGTGTTGCCAAACTAAGTTATATACCTTTAAAAAAAACAAGCATAAAACATCTTTTACATTACTATCACCATTCATTTCACTAACTTATAGCTTCAGACTAATAAATGGGTACACGATAATGCTAATGGTAATGTCTTCGTGTTATATTTCTTATTGAATGCAATAGTTTGAAGAAAATACAATTAAAGCTTGTCCAAGAAACATTTATCCTTTAAAATTCTCCTTGTTACTGGTATAATATTTTGAAAACAGATATTAGAACTTAAAAAAATCATAAATTAACCCACCGGAGAGTGTTTGAATTATTTGAAACTAGCATATGTAATACTGTGCATACTGATTTTTACATTTCAAGTTTAATTTGTTACTAATTATATAGCGCTAGTCAGGCCCAGGGGTACCTCATTACCGTTCAGTTGATAGGCGATTTTATCTTTTCAACGCTTCTTATTTTTGGTGCATACGTCATAAATGTTCCGTGTCATCTGTCATTTATTATACGTTAACATCACATCTTAATATACAGTATCAACGAAAAATGTTTTGAAAACGGATTCACTTACATCCTGTAATACTTTTAGTCAATCTTTTTAGTTTTATGATTACTTCTGTAATCTGCCAGACTAGATTTTTTCCGCAGTTGCGTGGTATAAATGAGTTGTCAATATCAAAGAGCTAAAGTAATGTTCTCTTCATATAAGATTAATATATAAAACTTAATTGTTTCTGGGATAAGCTCTGATTGTATTTGTTGAGTATCTACTATACCTAAACCTCGAAAATGTTATGTTCAGGTTCGGCTTCGCCTCAAGCGGTGCGGAAATTATTGGCATTATCGGAACCGAATAAAACAAGGCCGCATCAGCCTCGTCTTCCTTCTCATGGTCTCAATCAGCCCAGTCCTGCCGTCAGGCGGGCACCAAGTGCCACAGGTAAGATAGATCTTTAACCGAATACTTAACCTCTACTGAAGATCGAGTATTGAGTGGTCCGAATACGAATTATTGACAATTGTTTAAATCCTGGTGTTCCGTGAAAGCTACAAATTATCTTCCATAAATAGTGATGTGTTCTTTTGTAACTTAGGACTTCTAGTGTCTAGGTTAGTTTGGTTGGTTTCTTATTTGTTTATATGATGGTCTTCCTTGACCCATATACATGCGATATTTCTAACACAATTGCATCTCCATATTACAATTTACAACTTAAAATCATCAAGTGATGTACTAGTGATCGTCTAACTCATTAATGTAGCCATGAATTTAACACCGTAGTGTTACATATTGTATTAGTTCTATAGTATATAGAAATTCCTTTTGGTACTACTAGAATCAGGAACTTTCAATTAGATTCATGAAAGAGGAGTGAAGCAACATATGGAACATTTGGCAGCGTTTTCTAGGAACTGCGATATTTCAACATTATAATAGTTTTTAATGCTCTTCGAATAAAATTTCAGTTACTGCTGTAGAAATATCGCTGATGCGTAATTAATTTCTAAAATGTGTATTATTTATGGGTGGATGCTGATTAGGGTTGTTCCACATCTCCAACCCCATTCAAATTTACTTAGAGAAAGCTCTGACGACATGGAAAAGAAAAAATGCGAAGGCATGGAGAGTACCGGTACGAACGAATACTACGTTAAGCTTTGCAGACGATCAAGTAGTGTTTGCACAAGACGGAAGAAATTCGGTGTCGTTGAAGACCTCTGTTAGATGAGTAACCAAGGTGAATAGCCATCATACCGTATCCAAGAAGGCCCACAAACATTAAACCTAACATAACCACTTGTCAGAACTAAGAACCATGTTAGTAACCTTGCCAAACTGCCCCAGTTCATAAACAAGCTGGTTAAATTATTGAGTTTTTGAACTTTTGAACTTTTTTTTGTGTCTTCATATTTTTCTGCTGCAAACATTTGTATAATTATTTATTCGTAAAGATTTCTTGGTACAATTAACATTCTTCTAACAAGTTTTTTGATGCTTTTTTATATTAAGTATTTTATGCTTCGATGATAACACAGGTGAAGAAAGTATCGTTGATTTCGCGTGTTTAGATCACTCAATAACATATTTAAAATCATCAAACGCAAAAACAGTTGTCTCTTTTAGTTTTTTGTTTCATAACTAAATAACTTCTCTTCTGTAGTCTGTCCATGTGCAAAATTTAATATTTCAGAAGTTTCTCTGTATTTGACAGCTTTTGACTCTGTTTTGACTGTTGTTTATGCATTTGTTTAATTCATATTTAATACTGTTTCGTTTGTAGGAAGTTACTCCAGTTACGGGTCCCACAGTTCGAGTAGTTCAGGAGCGGGCGGAAGAGCCATGCACGAGAGATCTCATTCAGACACGCCCACACCTCTCCCCTCCGTAGCTTTGTCTGCAGAAAGCAGTAGTGTTACTTCCCTCAGCAACTTACCTTTGAGAAAGACTGTGACTTCTGGTAAGAACCTTCAACATTTGGTTTTTCGGTGTGTTTTTTACTATATCTCAAAGATAATCTTAAGATCGTGAACTTAGTTTACTAAGTAATTAATAGTAAATAAAGCTAGTTTACTAAATAATGAATAGTCAATAAATTCAGTTTACTAAGTAAATAATAGATTTACTAAGTAATTAATAGTAAATAAATTCAGTTTACTATGTAAATAATAATAAATATGATTAGTTTACTAAGTCTCATGACTGTATTTATCTGTAAATTAAATTTCTTAAGATTTTCGATGAGATGTTGAGCCAATAGAAACTTATCGTTTCTCATTCCATATTTTTTCGTACGACTCTTATAAAACCCACATTTGGCACTATTTTTTCTAAATTTCTTTTGTAATAATATCATCTTTTTAAACTTCCGTTAATTGTTCTATAACAGATCCAATCAACTTCTTTATATAATGATTAAAGACCCAAAAAGAAAACTGCATAGCGGATGACTAAGAAAAATAAAATTGTTATTTTAACATTCTAAAATTATTAAATAAACAGTTGGATTGCGTTGACAACAGTCACATGTTGTAATAGTAACGGTATCTATTACTTTAGAGTACTTATTAGATATTGTGCGTACACAAACTTGTTAAAATTGATGTGATTGAAATAGTTTATATGAAACACTTCTATCACTTGTTTTTATAATCCAACAATCTTCACGTGAATAAATACAACTAGTAACTATGGTAGCTGATATTTCAGCGAAAGGCCTAAACTCTCATGTATCAACTGTTGTAATGGACAGAGCCGTATGATAGTTCTCGTAGTGGAGTTTAGAAACCTTTCCATTTCTTGTCTCATTGTCTTCTTTGCTAAGTTTTCACCAGTTACCTAACAGAATGTTATCGGGAACAGAACATTCTCATAACGTCCTATAATCAAATAGTCATCAAAGCGCTGAAACTGTATCTGAAACGAATTCTCTACTAGGTGACAAAACTCCTGCACAGGTCCGTAAGTCGCCTACAGCATTTCAACATCGAAACGATTATAATATCCGTATTCATCCGTCTAATAATCTGGTCTACTAGCAAGGATCGTATCCCATCAAGTCACATTGTTTTGAGCCTTTTGACTCTTGGAACTCCCAATATATATCGTTGCGACGTTTCTTTTTTCATAAATCATAATTATTGTCAACTGAAATTACCAGTTGTGGCACCAGTTCAGTCTGTTACTAATTTTGAAATCACCGCGTTAATTATTGGAGTCATCTCACTTGTTTAAATCTTGAAAGTAGGAAATTTTGTATATGGCTTTGGTGACTGTTATCATTATGTCATATTGACACTTTCATTTTATTTACTTATGATTGATCACGGTTCTTAGTGTCGAAAATTGTGCGAAAGCCGTTGCTCTGGTTGAAGATGGGCGAAATTATGAATATGTGGCTAGAGTACTACACACTCATCGCTCTACCATCCAAAGGGTGGTGAAACGTTTTATACGAACTGGAATAAACAAGCGTAAGCAGGAAGTGACAGAAAGCGCAAAACTACCGCCTTAGATGATTGTTTTATTCGAATCAACGCTTTGCGGGATCGTCATTTAAGAGCGTTGCAAACAAGAAATCAGCTTCAATTAAGATAAACAGGAATATAGCGGAGATGCGCTGTCCTGAGTTTTTGCATTCGGTTAGGAAACCATGTTGGGGTTCTATTACCCAGGACCTCCACATGAAGAGCACTTGGCTGATTGTTGTGCCTCTATAGCGAATCAGATTGCTATAGGGGTGAAAGGGATGGTATAGAGCATTGGAGCACGGTGGGGGTGACTCCTGTTTTTACTCGAGTTAACACACCTTGCTCCAGTGAATTGTTACACCCGATCGTACTACCTGGGTGAACATTTCTCATGGGCTGGGTTCAATCAAATTGCTTAAATCAGCTTCAAACTGAGAGCTGGGACCAGCAACTGAGCCCAAATTACTTCCACGGCACAGAGTGGCTAGACTACAACTTTCCAGGGAACATTTACATTGGAATTTAGGACAATGGAGTAATGTTCTTCTTACGGATGAGTCGAGATACTGTCTTCACCCATCAGATGGGATAGAACGAGTACGGCGTCGAACTGGAGAGAGATTTGCGGAGTGCGCTTTCAGCCCCCGCGTTAGCCATGGAGGGGGTTCGATGATGGTATCGGCATGAATATCCGAGAGCCGCACACTGAGTTGGTGTTGAGGGTTCATTGACTGCACACTGGTATATTGAGAAATTTTAGCGAATCACAGTACTCTTTTCTCAATACATCGGCGATGATTTTCAATTAATGCAAGATAATGCGCGACTACACTCTGCAATGTGTGTCACGCAATATTTAGAGAAAGTTGGTATTAATAAAATGAACTGAATTAACGAACTTCGATTGACTCTAGAAGAGGAATGGCAAAACATCCAAAATCTAGAAGAGGAATGGCAAGATGATATTCGCAACCTCATAGACAGCATGAGCCGACGTGTACAGGCAGTTATAGAGGTGGTCAAGCAATACAAAGTATTAAGTTATTTTTTAGTAGTTATTTCTTGTTATTTGCCTACTTAGGTTAAGTTACATTCAAGTTGTTTTTTTTTATGTTTTGTTATTGTTATCATTGTTCATTAAAATCAAGATCATGTCGTTGCTTTTAATCATTATTTAAACACAGTGCTTCTGGGATGTCGATATGGCATTCCTTCGATATCAGTCACCAAAGCACCCATCGTTGTATTACAAGTTAATACAAAAGATCATGGTAATAGTGGGAAAAGTCGTAAATTGTGGTGGCAAAGTCATTTCGCTCCTAAAAATGAACCAATCCATATTTTCACATGAAACAAAAAACATAATACTTAGAAGACATGGTTGCAACCGAAAAATAAGGTTTTGCAAAAATCCGCTAACGGAATTATTCCACAGGATGTTTCAAAGTTAGGATAAAAACCACCTTTCGATTAACCCCGTATAATTAAGAAAATTGAAAATTTTACTAAAAAATTCACTACACTAAATTAAAATTTATAATACAAAAAGAGAAATCATACGACTTCCTGGCGAAATCGAATTCAAATATCAGCCACCGTGCTTCCTAAAACTTGCGAAGCAAACAGCTTGATGAATAAATCGGCAAGATTTATTCAATGGCCAATATTCGTAGTGAATTCGATTTCTGGTACTCCAACGAAGAAAGAAATAAATACACAATGACGGTATTAGATTTTGATTCGATATAGAGCAGCGACAAGCCGCCATTAGCCTACACAGAGTCCTAAAAAAATCATCTCAAATAGGGCTAAAAATAAAAAAAAACTTAAATACTTTGAATTTGACCAAATCTTTGGATTATTATTACCAATAATTATGACCAAAATATAAAGTTTTGTCCAAAAAACAAAAAAAAAACTGGGGGACCACCCTTATTACTTAGGTATATGAAAAAGTATTATTACGATCTATTCTCAGATCTACCGAATATACATATAAAATTTCATAAAAATTGGTCAAGCCGCTTCCGGAGGAGTATGGCAACTAGCTCTGTGACACTAAATAGGGTTTGATGATTGTAATCAGTTGTCAGTTACATATTCTTGTAAGTTTTTTTCTTGATATTTTTTCTATATTTCTTCTTCTTATAGTGCTGTGCACCTATATTGCGTTGGCGAATTATCTTAAGGTCAGACGTCTGTATTTTGCGGCATGCAGATGATCGCCAGTGTTATTTATGCCTGTCCAGTTCTTTATGTTCCGTAGCACGACATTTGTTTGCGACCTACTCCTCTCTTGCCTTCAATCTTTCCCCTGGATGATTATTTGGGGGATTGCGTATTTTTTTCCTCTCAGAATATGGCCGAGGTATCCAATTTTTCGTACCTTGATCAAATTGAGTAGTTCTCTCTCAGTCTTTGCCTTTTTAAGAGTTCCTCGTTTCTCATCCTATCTGTCCATGGTATGCGGAACATTCTTCGCAACGTCCACATTTCGAAGGCCTCCAACTCATTAATGGAAGGTACTCTTAACATCCATATTTTCATGCTGTATAACAATATGAACCATACATAGCATTTAACCAAGTGCATATTATGATGTTCGTTGTCTGTTATTATCGCGGTGTCGTCGACGTAACGAATGTTATTTATCGGGAACCCGTTTACCTTTATTCCACACTTGAAGCCTTCCAGTTGCCGGCGCAAAAATGTTCTCCACATAGAGATTGAAGAGCATAGGAGGCAAAATACACCCCTGTCACACCCCTCTTAAAATTTCAAATTCTTCTATGTTGGTTGATTTGTTCAGTCTCACTCGTACTTTTTGATTCCAATAGAGATTCTGGATCTCTGGAACTCTTATATCTTTCTCGTCAATGTTAGTGTTGCATATCATTTATATTATTGCGTCATGTTTTACTTTTAAAACTTTAAAAGATCTGACGACGGTTCTGTCGTCTTTGAAACGGCATAGCTTAGTTTGGCAACGACTTATCGCTAAGGGAGATTATAAATTACCGTTAGGATTTATTTTTGGAAGTACCTACCTTTTGAGAGCCTACCTAGCAACCCTCATTCAGCATTATTCTGTTTCCAGTTATCGATGTAACAACATGTAGTATTAATTTATATTTGTAATATTTTTAAGTTGTATTGTTTACAAACAATTAAGTTTTCTTTTTTTCTATATTATAACAGACACATAGAAGCATTAAATAGTTTCATGCACGGTCTTTTGTTCTTTACTAAAACCACGGGAAGTCCAAATAATATTTAGCAACAAGTAACTGGAAGAACTCAAGATTCCCGTTTTCCACTGAACAGTTACCAACATTACGGTGTCAAATGATCCATGCAGTTTTCTACAAGCGTATTCAAGCAGAAAGCTGCTTCACGTGGACCCAGTCCGCTCTTGAAACCAAATTGTGTCTCACCGCTTACATCTTCCAGCTTTCTGAACATTCTTGTGTGAAGGATGCGAAGAAACACCTTAAGCAAATGGCCATTATACTTATCAGTCTGTGGTCTTTGCATTTTGTCGCTCTTTGTGATTAAGGGGTCATTATAAAGGTCGAATAAAGCCAATCCGTTGGAATGTGACCGGTGTTATATATGGCATTGAAAATTGTTACCAGCATGTCGAACTTATCATCTCTTCCAACATTTTAGGCTTCCGTAGTAATCCTTTCTTTATTTATATATTATAAACTTATTTGTACTTTTAGATTAAACGTTTTCATCAAGAGATAAAGTAGCGATATTTAATATGTTTTCTTTTCCACTTTTGTACCGAAACCCCCTCCCCCCAGTTATAGTTGTGAATCAAATATGATATATATATATATATATATATATATATATATATATATATATATATATGTATATATATATGATTGTGTTGAGTTGGATCTGTCAAGAATATTAACATCAAATACATCCTATCGTGCACGCCTTATGCGCATCTTGTATTTGTTTGCACTGGTGTTGCCAAATATTGAAATAGAGAGGATTACATTTTTTTCTTTTTATTAATCTATATACTATAGTGCTTTAAATGAAAACGAAGTCGGTTATTAAAATATTGTTCGACTTGCACATATGTCATTTCTTGTAGATAATAGAGCTAAGAGTGGTATTAAAGAAAATACAAGTAAGTGATACATATAGTAGAACGTCGTTCGTAGACCGAAATACCGAGTCGATCAAACAATCATGTTCAGGACTTTCAAAAATTGCTGAAGGCATTGGGTGCACTATGATCAAATTTATGACTGTGACGAAATTCATCTAAATCCACTAGGAAAATAATTCCTGCAGCTGGCTGTATACCACGTATCACAAAAAAGAGGTTAATCTTTGTAACTTGGTATATTTAAAAACTCTTAAAAGGACTACATTAAAAACACGAACGTTTTCGGAATGACAATTCCATCATCAGGTTTAAAAAACACTAGGTTGATATGCCTGAGCCACCAAAATTTTTGGGTAAAAACCCTTAAAATAATTGTAGTTATAAAAAGATTGTACATAATGTTGTTTTAAATATGTGATGGTTGATTTTAAGTTAGATTTGGCTTCAGGTAACATACACCCATGGTTTGAATGAGTTCCAGTGTCCGGAGAGTAAACCTCTTCAGGCGAACTACAGCTGGTTATAGCTATATTAAAAATATAGTTTTTAATGTAGCCCTTTTAAGGGATTTTAAATATACCAAGTTACAAAGATTAACCTCTTTTTTTAAATTCATCTAAATTATAAATTGTTTCCATTAACATTGTCCTTTTAATATCGTTTTATGAAAACCTTCACTGGGATCATTGCAGTTATTCACATGCGCACGAGATAAAAGGCTAAAGCAGTACAAACAAAAATTGCATAAGTGGGAATTGAAGACTTGATGCTGAGTGGTAGTTCGGGATTCAGCTGTGACTTTGATTTGTTTGTTAGTTGCCAAAGTAATACTACTAGAGCAGCAACGTGGTTGCCAAATTTTCATTGTCATTTCCAGAATTCATTGCTCTGGAAAAAGCATTGAATTGTTTTAAGTGGATCATAAACCAGAAGCAATCCTAACGGGTGTACTCCTTCTGAACCACATTCCAGATCTATTTGAAGCAATTCCTACAAATAGTCACTTCTTTTCAGTGAAAAATGTGTTTAATATTTCACAGGCTATTTTATCATTTGTGTCAATAAAAAACCTGAATATGTGCATAATAAGAAAATAAAATCCCGATGTCAGTTTTCGAGATTAAATCAGTAATATTCCCCACGTTACTTCTAATAATCCGGGTTCTACCACAGTATTAAGTTATAATATAGTCTTTATAGTGTATTAATGTTTTTTTTTCTTGAAATATACCCATAAATACCCACAGTTCAATACATATTTGATTACAATAAATGTATTTCTACACCTGTTTATTGTTGTTAAATGATTTTATCTAAAACCTGATTACAATTTTCGGAAATTATTTTACATTTGGCAACACCATTCTGCACGTTTACAATTGGTTATGGCATGTTTATATATACGCAGGTTCGGTCTCTTCATCGGACTCGGGTCATAGTACCATCAGCCAAGTGACGACCAGCTCCAACGATTGTCATTCCTACCAACCGAGATGTCCGAGTCCGCCCAGACATCCGCCGCCTATACCAGGTATGTACGAGTTTCTTCTTTTTTGCTATCGACTTTTTGTTATGGTTGATTTGATGCATTTATGTTTGTCGAATGTGAGATGTATGTTTATAGTGTAAATTCTAAAGAATAAGTTGGAAAATGCATATTGGTAAAAGCAACAAAATGTTCTTAACTCAAAAGATTTATTTCATCTAGTTAAAGGTTAGTTACGGTCATTATTATCAAATTTTGTTCCATAAGTGCTGATTTGAAATTCAGTGTATGGTGAAGTACAAAAATCTCATCGTAGGAAAAATTTGAAACGAACAGTTCATTAATTAGAACTTACATTACCAACGATTTTCGAAAATCAAGTTCGATTATAATTATGGATTCGATTATTTTAACAATTCAGGTTTATTTAACGATGTGGCACGACCAGATCAATATTTTTCTCAGTAATGCTAGTTTCTGGATGGTATTGTTGAGTTCTGTCACTTTTTGTCTTGGACAGTGGTGATTCTTTAAATTGATCATGCAAATATGCTTAAAAAATATTAATCAAGATGTGTACACCTGCTTCATAGACTACCACAAAGCTTTCGATAGTGTTAAACATGATAAACTGATTAAAATTCTCAGAAAAAAAAACAACGAACTATATTACATGGTCGTCAGAAAGTAAAGAACGTTTTGGCATAAAAATTAAAACAAAATATATTAACCCAAATTGTATTTACAAGTTCATAGTCCCTTAGTTCATTTTTTAATGTAATTGCCTTGGCGTTTTCGCATTTATTGTACCGTGGAATCAGTTTTTCGATGCCGGTGTTGTAGTCCTCTACCTTCAAAGCCTAAGCGAGGATATTACTTCATCTTTGAGCTCTTCATGCTTTCCAAATTCTTTTACACCCAAAAATTCCTACAGTTTCGGAAACAGATGAAAATCGGAAGGCGCCAGGACTAGGCTGAAAGGAGGGTACTCGAAAATTTCCTATTATATACGTTGAAGTTCTTGCCGATGCATGGGACCGAGCATCACAAACAATTTCGTCGATATGCCACGTCAGTTATTCTATATTGAACACTTCTTTCAAGTGTTAAACACTCTCATCTTTGAAGGCTTTCGCAATAGGCTTCGGCAATTTTTTTTCATCCCTAGGCATAAACTGTACTGAATTAAACCCTTACTTTTAAAAACCGAATCACACTCCGTACTTCACACTTGGCGGAATTTTCAATGGGTGTCGCCATTTCAAAATGGTATAGAACAAAGACGCGTGAGCACACAGTAACGAGACTTGCTCACATTGCTGCGAACCGACAGAGCTAACTGGCGCATGAAATTACAACGGTGGTGGATCTGCGCTGTGCGATGATGCGCAATCGCTATTTACTTTCAGGACTACCCACGCCACAATGAATGAACCTTTACAAAAATTAGCGAATAGCAGTAAAAATTGGATGTGAAATATCAGAAATAAGTCTCATATAAAAGAATGTATATTGCCACCTCTAATTTAACAGTTTCTTTAAGAAAATCGTACAAGCTATTGAATCGGCAATAGCCGCGATAAAAGCGAATGGGTTTTAAATTGAACGTGGTACTCATTAGCGCAGCATGAGAATATTTAACTGGCTGAAGCCTGTGCGATAGAGAACAACGTAACATAACCATTTAGCTTTCTTTTGATGTCTACAAACGAGTCATTTGTTCAAAGAGGATCGACATTTTCACACCGCAATTTTTGTGTATATCCGACATTTTTTTGTAGCTGTCGATAGATTTTAGCAGCGCTGTTGTCTCTTTTGTCGAGTCTTTACTTCAACAGTACTTTACGTTTTCCTCGCAGCGCCGCTTTTAAGCCGGGAACACGCACGTGGAATACCGTTCTTCCCTCAATATTTGTGGTTTACCATCCGTGGGATAAGGCAGAACTGTCAATTTATGATCGCGGCGGCAGTCCCAACAACACGGTTCAAGGGAAGGTCGGAAGCTGATACACAGCAGGTACTTAAACCTCCAACCCTTCCGACGCGGGTTAGTGTCGTGGTAATTTTAGTATGGAGTGGACTAACTACGGTGTGTTGGAATTTTTATCATTGTATGAATTAACCATATTACTCAAATTTTTACCGCCAACACTGGTGGGGTTCAAGAAACTAAACTAAATCCTTGATACTCGAGGGGACACGCTGCATCGGAATGGTCTGACCTCATTTTGGGGTAGGTCGAGTGAATTTATCTAAAAGTAAACATTGATTAATTTCACAGTAACTTGACGTACCAACCGTGTTGTCTTTTCTTTTTACGTTCCATTGGATCTCGGCTTTACTCGACTCACGAGAAGCCAAAGAATAGATGCTAACTTCCCGTAGATCCAATCGGAATTATGTCGACAACGAACAAGCCCTTCATCACGATAATAAGAATATTTTTTTTGAACCTATTCTTTAACCTTCCATTGTTGGATATAGGTCTCTCCCAGTTCTCTTCATCTTTCCCTATCTTGAGCTGTTCTCTGCCATGTGGGACCTCCTTGTTTCCTGATGTCATCTTTCCACCTCATCTGTGGTCTGCCTCTTGATCTCTTTGCATTGTATGGACGCCACTTTCCGATGGCATTGTTCCATTCGTCCGTCTTCCAGACGTTTTAGTGTCCAGCCCATTTCCATTTCAGTTTTGTGCTTGTTGAGTGCCTTCCTTTTAATATCCAAATTGGCTGTGTAAATGTCCATGTCTGTGCTCCGTAGGTGAGCACCGGTATTATACAGGAGTTATATACCTTGCTTCGTAAGTATAGAGGGATTGTTTGATTTTTTAGAACGTAAGAAAGTTTGCCGAACGCTGCCCATCCCATTCTTACTCGTCTCGATATTTCGGGCTGTTTGATTTTCTCTGTTAGAGAACAGAGAAAAATAAGAATATACAGTACGTAATTCATGAGACAGAAAGTTTGGTTCAATGGATATTACTTGCGGCAGTAGATATCTATATAGATTTAACTGTAATACCATTCTTAAGTTTGATCACAAATTTATATATGATAAATCTATTTTATACTGAGTATATTTGGACTATTCTATGCAAACTATAGTTTCCGTTTCGTGACAAATAGTTTTGGAATAATTTTGTTGTTTTTACTTTCTTGATGTTGGAGGTATGTGCATGTCAACTAAAGAAATGTCAACCATCGATAGTAAAATATTTAAAAACCTAAAAAACAAAATAAAAAAAGTTTTTAAGACTAATTCAAAAATAATTGTTATTAAACTTTAACAAAATATTGCATTTTTATAATAAAGGTTTTGAAATCATTTTAAATTACAGTTTTTTATGGTTAAATCTTAATAACTGTGTTGATTGCGTTTTAAAAACATTGATCTTTTATATTTAAACAATTTTCTGTTGGCTTTATTGATCACCTGTGTTATCATCACCTTCCCATCCATGTTTTTCTATATGTCATGGCCACTTTTCTAAGTTGCCCCTTCTTTGGACACTCTATGACTGGGGTGAAATTTATTAAAAAAGATACAATAAAATTACAAAAGAGTTACAAAAATATAACCGAAATACACAGAACAGCTTCTCGGTGGTGGCGCCATCTGGATGACGTTCTCATCGGTTATGTCCGCGTGGTTGTTGCAGTCGAGTGTCTCTTTGCCTACGTGATAAATCAAACAACATATCGGCAGGGTAGGGAGTGACTGGGCATACTCGCAGGGACTTGCATAGTATCTGGGACTTCTACTTCGTCGAAAACATTTGGTACATTTAAGGCAACTAGTCTGCAAAATGATGTGGATGGCGGATGTTAGATATAGCACTTGTGATACAACCATGCACATCATTTATGGATCTATTATCTTCTAACTGCTGGTGTAGAATCCGGTCTGTAGACTCGGAGTAGCTTGGATCGAAGGTTCGAGTTGGGTATTTGGGCACCACGTCATCTCGTCGGCAAAACCGATCGGTTTTGTTCTTGAGAAGAATCCTCTGCTATCAGTCCATCCATGGGTGAATTTGTGCTTTGTTTATATATAATCTTGATCTTCTTCTTCTTAGCCTTCTATCGTCCATGTTTGGACTCTCCAACTCCTTCCATCGGTCTCTATCCTGAGCAACATATTTCATATTTTTTCGGCTCTATTCTTTTGAAAGTCATCAACCCAAACTAATCTGTGGTCTTCCTCTTGTTCGTTTTCTTGGGGACAGGGTCCAAGCTGGATGTCTCTCAGAGTGTAGATGACTGTATTGGGGAGCCCACGAAGGACTGGATCGAACTAATTTAAAAATTACTCATATTTATTCACTGGAGTTGGTCCCGTTTTTCGTAATATTGGGATTTCCAAGTCAACCGGCCAATGGGAGATTTTTCGAGGCGGGCTATGCACATCAGCGTCCAATTAGTCTAAACTTGGTGACAGCCTTACCTTACTACAATTTTAAAGAGAAAAAACATATAATTCTGAAAAAATATTAAGAAGATCTAAGAATACTTGAAATAAAAATAATAAGATCAATCTTATCTTATCCAACAAGTGAAAATAGATACAGAAGATTTAAGAATATTAGAATGAAACATTATGAGATCAATCTTGGGACCAAAATTAATTAACTGCGGAGAAAGAAGAGTAATAAGAGAACAAATAAAGAAGACATTGGAGGAGAAACCATAGTAAAACATAATGGATACCATAACAAGACCATAGCAAGACTTATACAACGTTTAGTACATATAGGAAGGATAACACCTTCAGAAATGGAAAAAAATAATCATGGATTGCGTTCCAGTTGTAGCATTTTCATTCTTCTAGTAATAATGGCCCTTAAAATTTTTATGGTGGTGTACGTATATGCTTATGTTATTTCGTAGACTGTCTATATTACATTTAAATACGTTTAAGGACGCCTGTGTTTAGTTAAATGTTAAAAGTGCGTAGTACTTCCCACGAACCAATTGCGTATTATAAACACAGCTGCACTTTCGTTCCCAAAGTATCCAATAAAAATGTTTATATTAACGGTTAGTAGT